CCTGGGTTCGATTCCTCAGCACCACATAAGCAAAAAGAAAAAAGCCGGAAGTGGTGCTGTGGCTCAAGTGGTAGAGCGCCAGCCTTGAGCTGAAGAGCTGAGGGACAGTGTCCAGACCCAGAGTTCAAGCCCAATGACCGGACCCCCCCCAAAAAAAAAGTTCAGGGACAGTGCCTAGGCCTGGCAAAAATGATATTCACAGGTGTGAGGTGCCATGGTGAAATCATTTTGGAACAATTACAGTCACAAAATAGAACATTAGGAATTTGCCAGGCACAGTGGCTCACGGCTCTCATACCAGCTACTCAGGAGGCTGAGATGTGAGGGTCCAAGTTCAAAGCCAGTCCAGGTAGGACATTCCATGAGACTCTTATCTTTCATAAACTACTCAAAAAGAAAAAAGAAAAAAAAAAGCTGGAAGTGAAGCCGTGTCTCAAGTAGCAGAGCGCTAAGCCTTCAGTAAAGGAAGCTCGGGGACAGCTCCCAGGTCCCGAGTTCGAGCCCTTGGATTGGCACCAAAAAAAAAAGGCAGAAAAGAAAAAAGAAAAGTGAGAATTTGAAGCGTTTTCTAGACTGGGGTGGGGGAGGGGGCTGTGAGCTGGAGGGGGTGGGATGGACAGCAGACAAAGTCGCGTGAGCTATGCCCATGTGTGAAAATGGAGCAGGGAAATGGTGGGATCGGCCGGGGGATGGAGTGGGGGGGGGGACTCTGGTCAAGCTGCCGTTGGACTCAGAGGGGCATATTACATAAATAAAACACCCTTGGGCAGCCAATTGCTGCTCATAAAAATTAAATTAATTGGATAAATTAAGAAAACAGGTAAAATCCCACATTTATAAACATGTAACACGTATGGCCAGCGTTGTGTTCCCACGCAGCCTTCCTATCTAACACACGGGGAAAGGGAAAAGATTAAAAGCAGGAGACAGGAAAGAGGAGAGGTGTAGTGTTTCTGAGCAGTCTTGGGGAGACGTGTCCCGGAAGTGGGGTGTCTTCTGGTGGCTTACCTGTTGATAACCTCCTTGCCATTGGGCCCCCTCCATTTCTGCCCTGCGTGATTTTTCAGCTCAATCCAGTGTGGAGCACTGCCAGCATAGCGTTGAAGAAAGGTCTGACAACACAGAGTGGGTGTTAGCAACGCGGCCCAGCGCCAGGGCTCCCGCCTGTAATCCCGGCTCCTCAGGAGTCTCTCAGACACAGCTGAGGGACTCTGATCTCCATCCACAAGAAGCTACGGCGGGGGTATATGGCTCAAGGGGTCAAACACCAGCCTTTAGCACCTAAAGATCAACTAGAGCAGGAGGCCTGACCCCAGTCCTGGCACACAATAAATGAACAAATAAATGAACTGAACTAAGTAAGTGTGTCATGAAACAACATTTTACTGTTGTTGGTGTTGGTCCTGGGATTTGAACTCAGGGCCTGAGCGCTGTCCCTGAGCTTTTGTTCCTCAAGGCTAGCCCTCTACCACTTGAGCCACGGCGCCGCTTCTGGCTTTTTGGTGGTTGGAGATAAGAGTCTCACGGACTGTCCTCAGATGGATCCTCAGAGCTCCCGAGTAGCCGGGATTACAGGCGTGAGCACTGGTGCCCGGCCAGACGGACTTTGAAAAGGGTAGATTTTTATGAAATCATAAAAGAAACACAACAAACAAACACCTTACCAGGTCCTTTGGAGAGTCCAGGACAGCAAGAGCAGCGCCATCTTTGGAGCAGGAGCTTCGGGCCGAGGGCCAGGGTTCTCTCGTGGTGGAGACGAGGTAGCATTTCCTCTGGTGGGCAACCCACTCAGGGGAGCAGGGTGAATCCTGGTGGTCTGCGGGCGCGGCCAGCTCGGGGAGGCCCGGGCAGTTGTACTTGCCCACTGGGAGAGAGGATGGGGGTTTGTTAGCCGTGGAAGGAGATGAACCGCTCAGCCTCGGGTTCAGGAAGAGTCAGGGCCGGGCCCTGGTCAACTGTGTGACTTTCCTGGCCGCCAGCTGGTATCGCAGGGGAGGTGGGCGGAGGGGGTGGACTCGATCATCACGTCACAAGGGGGCAGAGAGCCTGGTGCGGTGGCTCACGCCTGGCATCCCAGCTGCGACTCAGGAGGCTGAGATCTGAGGATCACGGTTCAAAGCCAGCCTGGGCAGGAAAGTCCGTGAGACTCTGATCTCCAATGAACCAGCAGAAAAAGCTGAACGTGGCGCTGTGGCTCACACGGTAGAGCACCAGCCTTGAGCAGAAAAGCTCAGGGACGGCGTCCAGGCCCCGAGTTCAAGCCTCAGGACTGGCACTAAGAAAAGAAAGCTGATTGGAAAATGGGGAACATCTTGGAAATAGCCTTTGAGCTAAAAACAGTGCCGGGCGCCGAACGTTCCAAGTCAGGCTTTGAATCTGAATTCACAGATGCAGCCTGGAGCCGGTGGCTCACATCGGAAAAGTCAGCATAAGCAGGAAAAGTCCAGGAAATGTGTGTGTGTGTGTGTATTTGTCAGCTGTGGGGCTTGAACTCAGGGCCTGGGTGCTGTCCCTGAGCCCTTTTACTCAAGGCTGGTGCTCTACCACTTGAGCCACAGCTCCAGTTCTGGCTTTTTGTGTGTTTCATTGGAGGTCAGAGCCTCACAGACTTTCCAGTCCGGGCTGGCCTCAAACCACAATCCTCAGGCCTCAGCCTCCCAAGTTGCTGAGCTGACAGGCGTGAACCATGCAACTCTTCTCTCCAATGGACCAGCCAAAAGCCAGGAGTGGAGCCGTGGCCCAAGCAGTGGCGCACCAGTCTCCAGTGAGAAAAAGCCAAGGGAGAGTGTTGAACTCACGGCCATGAGTTCAAGCCCAGGACTGGCACAAGATGAATGAATGAATGAATGAATGAGTGCGGGTGATCCCTCGGAGGATGGCGTTTGGCGGTGGGGAGGGCTCGGGAACTTGCGTGGGCCCTGCACTCACCGGACAGCGCGACCAGGGCGATGATGAGGGCGGTGGTGAAGGCCACGGACGCGGCAGCCACGGGGATGGGCACCCGGATGGATCCTTCGGCTCCGGACCCGCCGTGGGCGTGGGGGACGCGGCCTGGAAGACACAGGAGGCCGGGCTGCACACTGCGCACAGTGCCCTTTCCAGGCACTGAGGGAAAGCGGGCCAGTGGGTGGCCAGGGCTCCCGCCTGGCATCCCCGCTGCACAGGAGGCTGAGATCTGAGGACCACGGTTCAAAGCCAGCGGGGAAAGTGTAAGATGAACATCACCAGTGAACCACCAAAAAAGCCAGGAGCGAAGTTGTGGCTCAAGTGGTAGAGCACCAGCCTTGGTTGAAAAACCTTATGGACAGTGCCCAGGCTCAGCACACACACAGACACACAGACACACACACAGACAGACACACGCACAGATACACAGACACACACAGAGAGACACACACAGACACACACAGACATACACACAGACAGACACACAGACACACACACAGACATACACACACAGATACACACAGACACACACAGACACACACACACAGACACACACACATGCACACACACAGACACACACAGACACACAGACACAGACACACAGACACAGACAGACACAAACAGACATACACGCATGCATACACGCACACACATGCACACAGACACACACACACACACACACACACATGCCAGCAACTACAGTAATCAGATTAAAAAGCATCTTGTTTTTCAATATGGACAATTCCTCTCTAGGGCTTTTTTTCTCCTGTGGATCTGCGTTAGGAGCTTGCAGAAGAGGCTTTTTCTCGTCTGTTTTCTTTTTCTGCACCGGCCAATGGGACTTGAACTCAGGTCCCGTGGTTTTGCTCGCGTTTTCCTCAAGGCTGGTGCTCTACCTCCTGAACCACCGCTCCACCTCCAAAAGAAGCCTCCATCAGCTCCCATCTCCTTCTTTCCCCTCTCCTCTTCTCTCCTTGCTGTTGTTTATGGGGCTTGAACTCAGGGCCTGGGCGCTGCCCTGAGCTTTCTCACTCAAGCCTGGGCCACAGATTCACTTCCAGCTTTGTGGTGGTTCAGTGGAGATAAAAGTCTGTCCTGCCTGGGCTGTGATGCTAAGATCTCCTGCTGAGATTACAGGCGTGAGCGCTGGTGCCCGGCTTCCCTCTCTGGGTCTGAATGCAGCACTTCCCGTTTGCACACAGTTACCACCAGACACAGACCAGAGCAGGCTGGACAGCAAATTCAGAGATGGGGCAAAGTCTTGGCTGTCTCTCAGCTGTACAGCTGGGGCTCGATCCTACCGCGGTGCTGGCTGCCCAGTATCCACCAGAACCCGGGACCTGAGGGCCAGCTCAGCCAGGGACCCGCCCAGGAAGCTCCGAAGCTCATTCTCACTCATTTTCCCCAGCTGTGGGCTGTTGCTCACCGCGGTTTGATTGGTCACCATGGTGACGAAGTGCTCTCCCCCACAGCGCACCTGCGGGGCCTGTGCAGCAGTGGAAAGTTCAAATGGATCCACCTATTTTTTTACCTATTAAATCACACACGAGTGAATCCAATACTACAGCCGGGCGCCGGTGGCTCACGCCTGTCATCCCAGCCACTCGGGAGGCTGAGATCTGAGGATCGCCAAAAAGCCAGAAGTGGAGCTTTGGCTCAAGCTAGCCTTGAGCAAAAGAGGTTCAGGGATAGCACTGAGGCCCCGAGTTCAAGCCCCAGGACAGACAGACAGACAGACACACCACACACACACACACACACACACACAGAGAAAATAATAATCTTCTTAATTATGGGGGAAAGAAAATTTTTTCTTAAGAGAGGTGACTCAAAGAAAGATGGAAAATAACCTCCAAAACCATATGAAATCCGTCCTTGGAACGGTGTATCTGATTGTCTCTGCTGTTAAAAGGTACTAACCTCTCCCTTATTTCTATTTCATTTCTATTTTATCTGATGCCGGCGGTGGGGCTAGAACTCACGGCCTCTGCTCTGTTCCTTGCTTTATTCTTATTCACAGCTGGCGCTCGACCCCCTGAGCCACGCCTCCACGTCCACCTGTGCGTGGGCTCGTTGGAGATCAGAGTCTCACAGACTTTCCTGCCCTGGGCTGGCTTTGAACCGTGATCCTCAGATCTCAGCCTCCCGGGTAGCTGGGATGCCAGGCGGGAGCCACCAGCCCCTGGTGCTCGAAGATTCCCCCCACAAGTGCGGATGTCGCCGGGGGCAAAGCAGAAGCTCAAGCCACTTACTTTCTGCCGCTCTCTCCAGGTGCAGTGAAGAGCTATCCTCGGTTCCAGAACCATCTTCAGCGTGCATCTTGGGTCTCCAGGGCTTCCCGGTGGATCTGAAGGTGCTGTGCGGTGGGATTGAGCTCCAACTGGGGTTCTGGGGGTTTATATTGACTTGGGGTGGCTCCACCCCTTCCTCTCACGCCTCCTTGCTCGCCTGGGACCTTGATCTCTTTCGTTTCTGCCCCAGCCCCGAGCCTGTGGTCGGGTGGATTTTCCCTGCTGTCTGAAAGCAGATTTCTCACCAACTGAGGTAACAGGTACAGAAAGGTGAGCGGATTTCCCCAGAAGCACGCACATCCTTCCTTCTCGTTTAGAAACCCAAACAAGGCATCTCAGTAAAGACTCAAAAGTGGGAGGTGGCTGGGCTCCGTGGCTCTCGCCTGTCATCCCAGCTGCTCAGGAGACTGAGAGCTGAAGATCATGGTTCAAAGCCAGCCCCCGGGTAGAAAAGTCTGGAAGACTCATCACCAAGAAACTATCTTCCAAAAGCCTGAAGTGGAGCTGTGGCTCAAGTGGTAGAGCATTGATTTTTTTTCTTGTTTTGTCGGTCGTGGGGCTTGAACTCTGGGTCTGGGCGCTGTCCCTCAGCTCTTCAGCTCAAGGCTGGCGCTCTACCCCTTGAGCCACAGCACCACTTCTGGCTTTTTTTTTGCTTATGTGGTGCTGAGGAATCGAACCCAGGGCCTCAGGCATGCAAGGCAAGCGCTCTACCACTGAGCCACCTGCCCACATGCCCCTCCAAATCTTTTTTTTTTTAAAGCTCAGAGACAGATCCCAGGTCCTGAGTTCAAGTCCCAGAACTGCCACCAAAGGAAAAAAAAAGTGAGCTAGAAATAAAGCTATATAAAAAATACTTGATACGAAGTAAGTTGAAGAGCCTAGCATTTTCTGTGGAATTCTATTTACTCACAGATGAATACACGAATACACACTGATATTTATTAATTAATAGTCACAGTATACCGGGGACCATCTTGGGGGCAGAGAACCTACTTTCTGAATAAGAAGTTTGAACACTCTGCCCCATTACCCCCCACACACATGCTCTCTCTCTTTCTCTCTAACACTAATTTGGAAAGAAATTTATGTAGGGGGCGTCTATGAATTTCAGAAGTGTGTCGTTCACCTCTTGCCTAGAGACAGTTTCTTTTTCTTTTAAGGTCCCAGTTAGTGAGTGCTTGCTTTAGTGCCGGAAATAGCGAGCTTGTGGTCTGGAACTTCCGTGCCCGTGATCTAAAATTGTTGATCTCCGGTTATCTGTTTCATTATCTCCTGCTGAAGTTTCTTGTCATGTGTCACGGCCAGCTGCCTGACTCTCTGTCACCTCGGTAATTGCTTCTTCTTTTCTGATCCTCCTCTTTTCTTAGGCTGCACGGGTCTCTAAGAAGCCCGATCTATGGAATGAGATGGATACATATGAATATGTGTGTGTATCTGTATATCATATATGTATTTATTATATGCCGTGGAAATGGCCACGTCCAGATACGTTGCAAAGGTAAACACAAAACAAATGCTTGACTCTGCCTAACAACCCCAGTGTCAGCCGGGCGCCGGTGGCTCCCGCCTGGCATCCCAGCTACTCAGGAGGCTGAGATCTGAGGATCACGGTTCGAAGCCAGCCCAGGCAGGGAAGTCTATGAGACTCATTTCCAATGAACCAGCAAAAAGCCAGAAGTGGAGGTTTGATTCAAGGGGTAGAGGACCAGCCTTGGGTGAAAAAGGCCAAGGAAGAGTGCAAGACCCTACGTTCAAGCCTCAGAACGCACACACACACACGCACACATGCACACACACACACAATCACACTCTGCCACTCCACGATCTTCTAGAAGGTTCTCCTTTCTCATACCTGCATGGCTTGATTTCCTTTTAATTTATTCACTACTTAGTCAAGTAATGATTTCAAGGTATATTTAATTTAATTTTGTTTTGCCAGTCCTGGGCCTTGAACTCAGGGCCTGGGCGCTGCTGTCCCTGAGCCTCTCTGTGCTCAAGGCTGGTGCTCTACCACTTGAGCCACAGTGCCACTTCTGGATTTTTCTGTGTCTGTGGTGCTGAGGAATGGAAGCCAGGGCTTCGTGCGTGCTAGGCGAGCACTCTACCACTGAGCCACACTCCTAGCCCCAGGTATATTCAACTTAACATGAAGCATGCGCACACAGTCAGATGCCGTGGCTTGGGCCTGACCCAGCCGCCCGGGAGGCAGGGATGGGTGGCACTGTGTCTGAGGCCAGCCTGGGGGATGCGTTTTCCAGATCCCACCTTAGTCAATACGATGCTGAGAATGGCGGCACACACCTACCCTCCCGCTGTGTGGGACGTGAACGGGAGGATTGTGGTCCAGGTGGGCAAGAGCAAAGAGCAAGACCTGACTCAAAAACTAACAAGGGGTAGCGGGCCGGGGTGTGGTTCAAGTGGTAGAGTGTTGATCTAGTCAGCACAAGGCCCTGAGTTCAACCCAAGAGAGGCAAGAGAGAGACAGAGAGACAGAGACAGACAGAGAGACAGAGACAGACAGAGAGACAGAGACAGAGAGACAGAGAGACAGAGACAGAGAGACAGAGACAGAGAGAGACAGAGAGACAGAGACAGACAGAGACAGAGAGACAGAGACAGAGACAGACAGAGACAGAGAGACAGAGACAGAGACAGACAGAGATAGAGACAGAGACAGAGACAGAGAGACAGAGACAGACAGAGACAGACAAAGACAGAGAGACAGAGAGACACAGACAGAGAGAGGCAGACAGAGAGAGATAGACAGAGAGACAGAGAGAGACAGAGAGACAGAGAGACCGACAGAGAGACAGACAGAGACAGAGACAGAGAGACAGAGACAGACAGAGACAGAGAGAGACAGACAGAGAGAGACAGAGACAGACAGAGACAGAGAGAGACAGACAGAGAGAGACAGAGAGAGACAGAGACAGAGAGAGACAGAGACAGAGAGACAGAGACAGCAAGAGACAGAGAAAGAGAGAAAAGACAGCAAGAAACAAAGACAGAGACAGAGAGACAGACACAAAGAAAGGAGAGACAGATAAAGAAGAGAGAAAAATGGAGCAAAGAGAGAGAAAAGAGAATGAGAGAGGATAGAAAGAAGAGCGAGCGAGTGGGAGAGCCACACAGACGCAGAGAGAGGGAGGAGTGGGAAGGAGAGAGAAGAGAGGAGAGAAGGGGAAGGAAACTCCCAGAAAGGGAGAGGAGAGCCGGCGCCGATGGCTCATCCTGACATCCCGGCTGCTCAGCAGTTGAGCGCTGAGGACCGCGGTTCAAAGCCAGCCCGGCAGGAACGTCCACAAATCAGCAAAAACCTGAACGTGGGGCTGTGGCTCAAATGGTAGAGCACCAACCTTGAGCAGAAAGGCTCAGAGACAGCGTCCAGGCCCTGAGTTCCAACCCCAGGACCAGGAGGACAACGAGAGAGAGAGACAGACGGACAGAGACACACACACACACACAGAAAGGGCCCAAATACAACGAAGAAATGCAGTGAGCACGATGTTCCTGTCTCTGTGCCTGTGGGGTGGGATTTCCAGAAAGTTCCCTAGGGGAATCAGCAGCCCTCTCTACCCTGACCATACTCCATGTCCTGGCACACGCTACCTGGACAGCAATGTCCAGTGCTCCATCGGTCCTGCCACACCTGGCGGGCAAAACCTCAGGCAAAACCACCCACACCAGGGCTGGGCAGGTGGCTCAGGGGTAGAGCGCTCGCCTCGCATGCATGAGGCCCCGGGTTCGATTCCTCAGCACCACAGACACAGAAAAAGCCAGAAGGGGTGCTGTGGCTCAAATGGTAGAGCCAAAGAAGCGGAGGGACAGCGCCCAGGCCCTGAGTTCAAGTCCCGGGCCCAGCACCAATATATATATGATTGAGAGGATCCAAGAAAAAGTCTGAGACTGTGTCTCCACGTGCTTCTGGCTGGTTCTAGACGCTAAGAGTCACGTGGACTGGGAAGGATGATACTGTGAGTAATGGTTGAATTGTCGGAGGTGAGCCCGCAGATGCTCGGGGGTGTTCGTACCAGGGGCAAAGCTGGAAGATGTCATTTCAGCCCCCAACCTCTCCCCCCCCACCCCCAGTACCTCTCCCTGGAGGGGGGGGGCTTAGACGAAGAATCTGGGGGAAGGTTCTGGAAAGGAAATGAGGTAATGTTCTGAGAGGATGTCCAGGTTTGATCAGACGGGCGCCGAGGGACCGCAGAACTTCCGAGCGCAGTTTCCTACTCATCATTTGAAAAAAAAAAAAAAGAAAGCCTGTGTCTGTTCTTTTCTTTCGGTGAGAGAATTCAGTTTCTGAATTGCTTTTAATCTGATGGGGAGACACAGCTTTTGTTTGTGGGACCACGGTACACGAATAGCAAAGGTGTAGCCTGGCAATGCTCATTTTTGAATGCCAGGCGTGTGTGTGTGTGTGTGTGTGTGTGTGTGTGTGTGTACGTGTGTGTGTGTGTGCGTGTGATTCTTTTTCTTTCCTACTCAACCACTTGAGCCCCAGCTCCACTTCCAAGTCTGACTCATTGTTTTAAAGGGAATCGCACTGGAATCTGAACTCAGGACCCAGTGCTCGTGAGACTGGTGTGCTCCCCCCTCAACCACGCCTCCAGCTCTCTTTTTTGCTGGCTATCTTGGAAATGAGATCTAGCCCACTTCTCCGCCTGGGCTGGCCTCCAACAGGGATCCTCCAGATCTCAGCCTCCGGAGTAGCTGGAATCAGAGGTGTGCTGGGCGTCTGTGGCTGCGTGTGTACATGCTGGTGATGGCGAGCGGTTTGTTGTCGGAGCGGCGCCGAGGGGCTGGCGGTGTGGGTCTCCCGGCTGTGAAGTGGTTGTGTCTGTCGACGTCAGCGGAGTGGTTTGCGGTTCTAGTATGTTTGCAAGGTCTTTAGGCATCCTAGATACCCGTGTTTGTTGAATATATAAGTTGGTGACTCCTTCTCTCCACGTCTACCTTGTTTTGACACTCGCTGGGGGCCTTTCACAGAACTGAATAATTTTGAAAACACCTGATCGATGTTTCTCTGCTGTGCAGTTAGTTCTTTTCTTGTTCTGTCTCTCA